TCACCCAAAGCCCATTGTTCTGTTATTTGCTTCACTGCTTGCTGTATTGACTATAAATAAACTCCTGGGACTGGAGCCAGGGATCGACTCCTCAGAGTGACCCTCCTGGCCCCACTTCTCTGTAAGAGTTGTGTTTGGCTACTATCTTCACCTCCCCGACAACCGTCACCGCTGCGACAGATGGTGCCCCGTGTGAGGGGCTGCGACAGATGGTGCCCCATGTGAGGGGCTGCGACAGATGGTGCCCCGTGTGAGGAGCTGCGACAGTTACCTCTTTATAAAATGTTGTGTCTTAATCACTTTATCCAGAGACCTATTCCCACTCTTTCTCCAACATGCCTCACGGGTAACACATCCACTGAGAAGGTGTCCTTGTCACCTTTCTCCCCACCCACAAAAGCTAATTGAGATTTCCTTCTTAGGTAATTCCATTGCACTTTGCTTTTCTGCATCATCTAACTTTATTATAACCATCTGATTACTCATCTCCTTCACTGTAAAGGAAGTTCCTTGAAAGCAGAAACTCTCTTTTTTTCTCTCTAAATTTATAGTGGTTATACCTAAAGCATTCATTGACAAATTAGGAGTTTTCATTGCATATGTATTTAGATGGATGGATGGATGGATGGACGGATGGTTGGTGGATGACTTCATATAACATTTACACAAATGTCTCGGTTAATATGCGTTGTGTGGTAGAAGACAGACTTCCAAAAAAAGAGAATTAAAAATTACATATTCAAAAGAAGTCAATTGATTGGTTAAAGTATATTTTTAGTACTAATTTAAATTCTCAAAATGGTGTGATTCAATGTTTTTCATATGATACTGGCTTATTTAAAATGTCTTAAGTATATGGTTCTCAGAGCATTGAAATGTTCAATATGATTGATTATTGGCACTCACTGGTTTCGCTTTATGTTCATGTGACTGTCATCAGCTGATTTCTGTTATTTTTCAGGAAAAAATGCTATTTCACTGACCGGAGGAGCAAATCCATGGGCAGGTTGGTGGGTGATATGCAGTTTCATTATGACCAATTTGTCATTTGGAAATAATAATAATAATAAAAGACATTCAAATACTGATATCAGCAGTTGTAAATTTTAGGAAGAAAAACTATTGATTTGTTCAGATGATTTCCCAAATGGCTTATGCCAAATTAACAATGTTTAAAATCAGATAATTTATTTGTGACTATTTACAGTTGCCATTTCTGAAATCCTCATGATACACTGTTGTGGACAGAGGATTTTAATTGCAAGTAGCATCTTATGAGATTTTAATTTTTAAAATAACTATAAAACCAGGATCAGTGAGTTAATGATGACCCACTAGAATGAAAGACCCAGCAGAGACCTTCTGGATTATTCAGTCCAACTATCGTATTTGGTAGAGGTGGTGAGAGAAAGACTAGCATCCAAAGTTATGAAGTGACTTTCTAAAGCCATACAGCGTCCTTAGAGTCACACTTATTCCACCGCTGGAAGCTGCCTTTCTTATCCTAGTATTGAAAACAAACTTTATGAGTATTATCACTAAACAACAACCTTTTACCTATTGTGGTAACACTGGCTATGGCAAAGGACTGAGTCAAACCAGGAATTCAGTCAAACCTGAAACAGAAGCAACTCTTCCACCTGAATTGCCTTGGCACTATTTCACTGGAAGAAATGAGCTTTTGTTTAATGAAGGCTCAAACAAAAGGCTTCTTACATTTGGCTGTTTACCTGCTCATTGCAAACAAATCAGTTACCAAAAATAAAGCATGTAAATGTGGTAGAATAAGCTACATTAAATAATGTTGCAAGATACTACAAGTCAGAATACCACAAAAGCTGGAGGAACCGTATAACGTGAATAATAAACTGTTTCAGGAAAGTGTTCAATAAATCGAGTTGCTTTACCAAAGAAAGTGACTGAATATAGTTTTGAACTTTATGGAGTAGGAGAATGTTGGCCTCTTTTAAACATTAAATTCAGATGTGGTAGGACTGCATGGCAAAAAAAGTAAATCCTGGGCAAAAAAACTTGAAAGGAGAGTGGATATCAGAGGAATTAGTACTAAAATGACACTTTTTTATTAAAGGGTGCTCCTCAGCCAAGTCAAATTTTTCTGTTCACTAGATTAATGTGTCCTGCTTTATAATGAGCGCTCATCATTTCCCACATGTGTATTTGGTCCTGGTCAGTTATTTTTATGTGACAAATTTCTGAAATAGTCACTTTTGCACATTTAAGAAAGTTAAAATCAATGAAATATTGCAATATATAAATTTACAACTGCAAGTTTTTCTTGTCTCTCTCTGCATGACTGCTTAATGTTACTTGTGTTGATAAAATCTCTGTAGGTTTGCCTCTGTGTGCTACTATAGAATTAGTGAGACTTTACCCAAAGACAGTTTTTTGTCAAACAGGAATTTTTCTTTCAAAGACTTACAGAAGATAAAAGCCTGTGTATTAAAATCACACCAAATGTCTGCATATGTAATACTATCATAATTAATTTTATAGTAAGCTTGTATTTAGAACACATGAAAAACACGTGCATACTAAATCTCGAATTATGTTTTTAGTAGTTAAAAATGCTGTTTCTATTTTGGTCAAAGATAAAAATCGATTATAAAAATGAGCACTCTGTTATGCATTGTAATACCATTTCCATATTACATATTCCAGTTATTACAAATGGTTATTAAAGTGTCTAAAATATTACTGTAGTCCATCCTACCTCCTGAACAATGTACTTATTACAGGTATGTCTCTTTTTTCCTTGACTTTGTGAATTCATGTGGGGAGGGGTAGGAAATTCACAGGAAAGGATCTATAAAATTATATAAGATATGGTGAAATATATAATTTGATGTTATTAGCTTTTTAAATGGAAAGGTTAGCTTTCAAGTAAGGAAATGATTGATTTTTTTTTTATTTACCTTTTGGAGAAGAAAATTTAAATTATATATATGCATATATAATATACATATGTATACATTTACACGTACGTATATATTCATCGTTGTTATAAAATTCCAAAACTCAACTTGTAGACATTTGAGAAAATTATTGTTGCTGTTGTTAGGTGCCATCCAGTCAATTCCGACTCGTAGCGACCCTGTGTACAACAGAATGAAACACTGCCCAGTCCTGCGCCACCCTCACAGTCATTGTTATGCTTTAGCACATTGTTGCAGCCACTGTGTCAGTCCATCTTGTTGAGGGTCTTCCTCTTTTCATTGACCCTCTACTTTACCAACCATGATGTCCTTCTCCAAGAATTAATCCCTCCTGGTAACATGTCCAAAGTATATGAGACATAGTCTCGACATCCTTGCTTCCAAGGAGCATTGTGGTTGTACTTTCAAGACAGATTTGTTCTTTCTTTTGGCAGTTCATGATATATTAAATATTCTTCACCAGCACAATTCAGTGGTGTCAGTTCTTCTTTGCTCTTCCTTATTCATCGTCCAGCTTTCACATGCATATGAGGCAATTGAAAACATCATGGCTTGAGTCAAGTTTACTTTAGTCTTGTAGGTGACAGCTTTGCTTTTCGACACTTTAAAGAAGTCTCTTGCAGCAGATTTGCCCAATGCAATGCGTCTTTTGATTTCTTGACTGCTGCTTGATGGGTGTTGATTGTGGATCCAAGTAAAAGGAAATCCTTGACAACTTCAGTCTTTTCTCCGTTTATCATAATGTTGCTTGTTGGTCCAGTTGTGAGAATTTTTGTTTTGTTTATGTTGAGGTGTAATCCATACTGAAGGCTGTAGTCTTTGATCTTCATCAGTAAGTGCTTGAAGTTCTCTTCACTTTCAGCAAGCAAGGTCGTGTCATCTGCATATCGCAGGTTGTTAATGAGTCTTTCTCCAATCCTGATGCCCCTTTTTTCTTCATGTAGTCCAGGTTCTTGTATTATTTGCTCAGCATACAGATTGACTAGGTATGGTGAAAGGATACAACCCTGACGCACACCTTTCCTGACTTTAAACCACGCAGTATCCCCTTGTTCTGTTCAAACGACTGCCTCTTGGTCTATGTACAGGTTCCTCATGAGCACAGTTAAGTGTTCTGGAATTCCCATTCTTCGCAATGTTATCCGTAATTTGTTACGACCCACACAGCCGAATGCCTTTGCATAAAACACAGGTAAACATCTTTCTGGTATTCTCTGCTTTCAGCCAGGATCCATCTGACATCAGCAATGATATCCCTGGGTCCATGTCCTCTTCTGAATCCGGCTTGAATTTTTGGCAGTTCCTTGACGATGTTCTCTGCTGCAGCCCTTTTTGAATGATTGTCAGCAAAATTTTACTTACCTGTGATATTAATGATATTGTTCAATAATTTCCGCATTTGGTTGGAACACCTTTCTTGGGAATAGGCATACATATGGATCTCTTCCAGTTGGTTGGCCAGGTAGTCGTCTTCCAAATTTCTTGACATTGACGAGTGAGCACTTTCAGTGCTGCATCCACTTGTTGAAACATCTCACTTGGTATTCCGTCAGTTCCTGGGGCTTTGTTTTTCACCAATGCCTTCAGTGCAGCTTGGACGTCTTCCTTCATTACCATCTATTCCTGATCATATGCTACCTCCTGAAATGTTTGAGCCGTCAGCCAGTTCTTTTTGGTATAGTGACTCTGTGTATTCCTTCATTCTTCTTTTGATGCTTCCTGTGTTGTTTAATATTTTCCCCACAGAATCCCGCAATATTGTACCTCAAGGCTTGAATTTTTTCTTCAGTTCTTTCAGCTTGAGAAATGCTGAATGTGTTCTTCCCTTTTGGTTTTCTATCTCCAGGTCTTTCCACATGTCATTATAATACTTTACTTCGTCTTCTTGAGCCACCCTTTGAAATCTTCTGTTCAGCTCTTTTACTGCATCATTTCTTCCTTTTGCTTTAGCTACTCAACATTCAAGAGGATGTTTCAGAGTCTCTTTTGACATCCATTTTGGTCTTTTCTTTCTTTCCTGTCTTTTTAATGACCTCTTGCTTTCTTCATGTATGATGTCTTTGATGTCATTCCACAATTCTTCTGGACTTTGGTCATTAGTGTTCAACGTGTCAAATCTATCTTGGGATGATCTCTAAATTCCGTCGGGATATACTCAGGGTATATACTTGGGCTCTCGTGGACTTGTTCTAATTTTCTTCAGCTTCAATTTGAACTTGCATGTGAGCAATTGATGATCTGTTCCACAGTTGGCCCCTGGCCTTATTCTGAGTGATGATATTGAGCTTTTCCATCGTCTTTTTCCACAAATGTAGTTGATTTGATTCCTCTGTATTCCATCTGGCGAGGTCAACATGTATAGTCACCATTTATGATGGTGAAAAAAAGGTATTTGAATGAGGAAGTCATTGGTCTTGCAAAATTCTATCATGTGATCTCTGGCATCATTTCTGTTACCAAGGCCATATTTCTAATTACTGATCCTTCTTCTTTGTTTCCAACTTTTGCATTCCAGTCACCAGTAACTATCAATGCATCTTGATTGCATGTTTGATCAATTTCAGACTGCAGAAGCTGGTAAAAATCTTCAATTTCTTCATCTTTGATCTTAGTAGTTGGTGCATAAATTTGAATAATAGTCATATAAACTGTTCTTCCTTGTAAGCGTATAGATATTATGTAATCACTGACAGCATTGTACTTCAGGATAGACCTTGAACTGTTCTTTTTGATGATGAATGCAGTGCCATTCCTTTTTATGTTGTCATTCGCAGCATAGTAGTCCATATGATTGTCTGATTCAAAATGGTCAATACCAGTCCTTTTCAGCTCACTAATGCCTAGGATATCGATGTTTACACATTCCATTTCATTTTTGACAATTTCCAATTTTCCTAGATTCATGCTTTGTACGTTATTAATGGATGTTTGCAGCTATTTCTTTTCATTTTGAGTCATGCAGCATCAGTACATGAAGGTTACGAAAGCTTGACTCCATCCACAGCATTAAGGTCGACTCTGCTTTGAGGAGGCAGCTCTTCTCCAGTCATGT